AGTGCAGGGGCCCAGTGGGCCGGTTCCCACCCCCACCCCCACCCACTCCCCCACCTCGTCTACCTGGGGTTTTTTTTCACCCTTACGGTCCAAGTACTTTTTTTGGTCACATAATTGTCAAGAGATTGTAGCTTGCCCCAATGATAAAGCAGTTATGTGAGTTCACCTAAAAAGCACATTTTTCACCAATGTGAGGTTTTGGAGGAATCACACCCGCATAGGACCAAAGTCTTCACCTCACACCCGCGACCACCCCACTTCAGCGATTTAATTTCTGTTTTGAGACATTTCCTGCATTTAAAAAAAACATTTGCGTGTGCAGACATTTACAGTGAAATTTTTTGTGACCTAAGCTTGTATTTTCATGAAACACGTTTTTCTTTGACCATTATTTTTTTCAATATTTTCAGTGTTTTGCTCTCTTTCGTGTTTCATTTTATATTTTTTTTCATCTTTTTTTTTATACTACCTCTGCCTTTATAATATTATTTTGTTGTTTAAGGGGATTCCTTATTTTTGCGTATTTTTGTTCTTTACCCCATCATTTACTGCATGTAATTTAATTCATTTTTTTTTTTTTTTGGTTCTTTTTCAGCTTAGGGTACAGACAGTATTTTTCATTTATTTAATTTTCAGTCCCTTTTTAGAGGAATCTAGGGGCAATTTTACTGCAGCCCCCAAAAGCCCCAACCCTTCTCTCAGAATGAAATTAGACGAAGCGAGGGGAAGTTGTACTAAATGTTTCACTAGTTTTCCCCCATGTACCTTTTAAACATTCTTTAGATTCCTGAATATTTTTCGCTGAGCACAAAAATTACCCAGAAATATTTTCAACTAACCAGTAAAAGGGTTAGAATTTTTTAATTTTTGGGCCCAAATTTTACAAATTTCATTACATTTCCAATTTTTTAAAAAAAATTAATTTTTTTTTTATTAAAATTATTAAAAATCGCCAAATTTTCCCCCAAGGAAGGGGGATTCCTGTGGGATTCATTGGGGGCTTTTCTTCTTCTCACCCCCCCTCCTGTTTTGAATGCAGGTACTCCCACCCATTTTATCCTCGAACTCGTACGCCTCTCTTTCATCCCCTCTTTCAGTCTCTCTTCCTTTACTGCACTAGACTTCACCTGGTCTGTTTTCCCGGACTTACATGATAGCGATTCTTTTCCAATCATTGTTACTTATCCTTCATATTCACCACCTCTTCGTAGCCCATGCTGGCAATTTGATCAAGCAAACTGGGACCTTTACTCGCAACTGCTGCTTTTAGTGAGGTTCCTTCCTCGTCCTCCATTGATGAGCTTTTATACCTCTTCTCGACCTCAGTTTTAACCTCAGCTTCTCATTCTATACCCCAAACCTTGGGCAGGCATTCTCAGAAGTACGTGCCTTGGTGGTCTCCTGCTTGTGCTCGGGGAGTACATTTGAAACGCGCTGCGTGCGGCAGGTACCAGTACAATAGAACCACAGAGAGACTTCTTGATGTTAGGCAAAAGCGTGCGGTCGCTCTCCATGTTATCCGTGACTCTAAACGCACTTGCTGGTGAGATTGTTTCCACCATCACCTCTGCTTCTTCTGAGTGCAGTCCGGAAAAAGTAGAGAAACTGAGTGGTAAATACTCTCCTGGCCCAGCTCCTGTTTTGCGGGTTGCTGGTGTTGATATAGCAAACCCTCTTGATGTTGCCATTGAAATTGGTAATCATCTGATCAATATTTCTCAGGGGCTCCATCTATGCCCCTTGTTTCTTTCCACAAAGTCTGCCAGAGAGTTAGCATCCTTAGGCTTTTCTTCTCTCAATGAAGAATCTTATAATGTGCTTTTTACACTTCAGGAACTGGAGGCGACACTTTCAGCTTGCTGATCATCGGTAGCTGGGCCTGACGACATTCATATTTAGATGTTACAACATTTGCACCAGTCAGCCCTTGCAGTCCTCTTATAACTCTTCAATCTTATTTGGTCACAAGGAGTTCTTCCCCAGCTGTAGAAATCTGCCATTTTTCTCCGTTTCTGCAAACCGGGTACTACGGGACATGATGCCTCCCACTACCGTCCCATTGCTCTTACCAGTGCAGTTTGCAAAGTGATGGAACGTCTGGTAAATCGATGTTTAATGTTGTATTTAGACACACAACAGTCTCTCCCCACTAGTCAACATGGCTTTCCGTTCAACCATTGACCCCTTCCTACGCTTAGATACGTATGTTCGTAATGCCTTTGCCAATAACCACTCAGTTGTTGCCATATTTTTTGACCTTGAGAAGGCATATGACAACTTCTGGGTATAATATTTTGGCCCAAGCCCAGTCCTTAACGGGTAAATAGAACGTGGCGGCTCAAGTATACCAAAAAAAAAAAAAAAAAAAAAGTAATTCTTACCGAAATATAGTTCAAAATTCTGGCAACATTTTGGTGTATGTCTCGTGTCTGAAACGAAAATTCTATAAGTAATTATCTTAATTACAATATAATGAGGTAATTGGTCATTAGTTTGACACCTGACACACACCATAAAAATAGTATACAGTACCCTTTATTTCATTAGTATTTTTTTCGCAATTTTTTTCTTACGATTTTGTGCTAGAATCTTCGAAATGCTATTGGTAACTGTTAGGGTGGCTGTAGGAAGAGGTATACTTTTCCCCAGCAAGTCAGTGCCGACCATAGGTCTGAAGGAAGGTGTGCTGCTCTGATTGACCGCGGCTGACCCTTGGGACGCGTAATCTGACCCTCAATTCTTTGCATTTTTACACACAATGGCATACAAGAAAAGATCATTCTTTTGCAAGATAACCGTGAAGAGAAGAAAGCGCTTAGAAGCAATGCGTAGAGCTAGAGAAGCGAAGAGGGAAGCAGCAGCAAGAGAGGCGGCGGCTGGAGCACGTGACGCCATGCCACCACCATCACCACACTCCTCTCAAGACCAAACATTGTTCACTGCTAGTGAACTAATGGATATTTCAGACATAGAATCGTATGGTGAAGGAAGAAAGAAAACTTTAAGAGAACCAGTGTGGCCAGCCCCTCCTTGGCCATAACAGATGTGGCTGGCCCATCCTTGGCCACTCCAGACATGGCTGGCCCATCCTTGGCCACTCCAGACATGGCTGGCCCATCCTTGGCCACTCTAGACATGGCTGGCCCATCCTTGGCCACTCCAGACATGGCTGGCCCATCCTTGGCCACTCCAGACATGGCTGGCCCATCCTTGGCCACTCCAGACATGGCTGGCCCATCCTTGGCCACTCCAGACATGGCTGGCCCATCCTTGGCCACTCCAGACATGGCTGGCCCATCCTTGGCCACTCCAGACATGGCTGGCCCATCCTTGGCCACTCCAGACATGGCTGGCCCATCCTTGGCCACTCCAGACATGGCTGGCCCATCCTTGGCCACTCCAGACATGGCTGGCCCATCCTTGGCCACTCCAGACATGGCTGGCCCATCCTTGGCCACTCCAGACATGGCTGGCCCATCCTTGGCCACTCCAGACATGGCTGGCCCATCCTTGGCCACTCCAGACATGGCTGGCCCATCCTTGGCCACCCCACATGTTACCAGACCTTCCTTGGCCACCCCAGATGTGGCCAGTCCTTCCTTGGCCACCCCAGATGTGGCCAGTCCTTCCTTGGCCATCCCAGATGTGGGCACCCGACGTCGCCGAGCAAGAGGATCGAAAAAGTGTAGATTACTCATCTGTGACCATCCCCTCCTTGGCCACCCCAGATGTGGCCAGCCCTTCCTTGGCCACCCCAAATGTTGACATGTCAGCTGATGCCTGCTCGGCTGTCACCATCTCAGCTGACGCAAGCTCAGCTGATGCGAGCTCAGCTCTCACTATCTCAGCTGACGCCAGCTCAGCTGTCGCTGGCACATCTACAAGCGATAATGCGACTGACATTGATATATTTGGTGTCGAAAGTGTTAGTGATCGGAATATTTCCAGTGCCAAAAAGCGAGTGTTGCTCTTTCAGAAACTAACTCCTGAAGTTACTGAAAAGTTTATGGTGTTTATGAAAAATACTAATTTTGATTTGATTCTGTCATGTGTGTGCTGTCTGAAATGTTTCAGTAATAATGTTTTTATATTCAATCATCACCACCTAGAGACAACTGTTAGTGCATACTCTCCTGAGTGTAAAAATAATGTGTTGTGATGAAACCAAGTGTGCGCAAGGATATGAATGTTGCAACCGGAAGGATGGTATATGCAGAAATGTGTACAGGTGGTGGATATGCATCCTTTAGCCGTAGAACTGCAGTGTGTAATTTGCCTTCCTTGACTTTAAAACATTTAATAAATATACGGCACTCATTACTGATGCATCCATTCAATCGTGCAAGCAGATCATGGCAGAATCAAGAGAGGTGATTGTTAGGGAATATGGTAAACTAGACATTGTGCCAGACCAAAGTGGAGTACTTGATATTGATGTCACATAATGATGGAAACATGGCAAAAAGGGGCCATCATTCAAATCGTGGCATTGGTGTTACAATTGATGCTGTTACAAAACTTGATTGATTATCAAATAATGTGTAAGTTCTGTTTCTTGTGTATGTTCCTCGAGTATCATTTGAAAAGCAAGAAAATTTCTGAAGAACAATATGAACAATTGACTGAAAACCATAAAAGTGTATGCTGCAAGAACTTCACAGGTTCTTCTGGAAGGATGGAAGTGGAAGCAGCAATAGTGATATGGCAGAGATCACTAGAAAATAAATTGAGGTACAAAACTGTTGTGTGTGATGGTGACAGCAGTACCTACAAAGGACTTGTTGAACTCAATAATGGTGCAGGTCCCTATCAAGGTGTACAGGTTGTAAAAGAGGAATGTATAAATCATTACTCTAAACGACTAAAGAACAGACTAACCAATTTAGTGAAGTCCCACTACACTGAAAAAGAATTGAAAACAGGAAAGAAAAGAAAGCAGTTTGATTTGAAGAAGGGCATGCTAACAGATTTTATCATCGACAAACTGGCAAGTTTATTTTCAGAAGAACCTGCGAGACCATGTCGACACTGATGTTCTAAGGATGAGGAATGGCATCCATGCAAGCTTTTTCCATTGCTCATCCAGTGATACAAATCCACATCATCATCTTTGCCCAACTGGTCCTGATTCATGGTGCTTTTACCAGAAGGCAGTAGCAGCTAACATGACACCACCATCTCACACCACCATGAAAGTGCACTTCCAGTTAGAATTTGCATACTTCAAGGAGGTTCATGATATTTACAAACAACTAACTGCAGATATGATGAAAATTTCTGAAAAGCAGGACACAGAATCCTAATGAAAGTCTCCATCACCGAATTTGATCCTACTGCAACAAGACACTGAATCGAAAAAGAGTGGCAGGCTGATTTCTCAGCCAGTCAAGCCAAATAGCCGAGTATAATGCTGGATACGAGAGAAGTTGTATCGATATACCACTTGGCTTTGGGCGTTCATTGCTTACCCAAAGGAAGTTTCAAGCTATGGACAAGAGGATGCAGAGAAAAAAGCCCCCAAAATCCAAGAAGAGGAGACTGACGATGGATACTTCCTATGAACCTGGAGGACATTAGATGATTATTCATGTCCTTACCAACACCTACTCAAAGGTATGTAATTCATGTGATTTTCTTGTATATTTGTATGTGTATAAATATGACATACTTGTAATTATATGTATCTGTGTATATAATCACTGGCAATACGATTTTTAGAATGTATTTCCTTCTTTTCAGGTTGGCATGCATGGAGCATTGTGATTGGCAGATCTCCAGGGAACTTCAGGATGCAGGGATCTGCATGGTACTTCAGGGATATACTCTATACACTTGTTTCTACTATCAATAAACATAAGAAGGCACCATGAGTACTTTTACCCACCATATAGTAAGCCTCAATATATTTCTTCATTTATCTCAGAAGTGCATTATTTTCATACATCTAAGAGTATCTCGGTTATTTATGAACCGATCTTCATTATTTTCACACTGCTTATTCAGGGGACATTGTTCCAAAAACGAATGATTCAATTTGGGTAATCATCCCTTCCATTTTGGCACACCATGGGTATGAAATGCAAGAATGGTGTAAAATAAGTCAAGACAATTATTTTTTTTGTCACTAATAAGTGTAATAATACATAAAAGAAACCACCAGAATATCAATATGGCATTGCTTTATCATTGTAGGGTATCAAAAACAACTTCGACATTGCCACTTCTACATAACGGTGCTATAAATGTTCCCCTGTCCAAATGCTAATATTTATTTTTTGTCATTATTTATTGGGCGATCTTGATGCAACTTATACTGCATAAACTATGGCATGCCTAGAGTCTATGGTAAAAATTTCAGTTAAATTGCATGAAGGGAACAAAAGTCGTACAGTGAGGGTCATTTTCCCCCTTAAGCCTCCGAGGCAATCTACCATCCTTTGTTAAGAACTTCTTAACTGACAGACATTTCTGTGTTCTGGTTAATATGCTCTCCCCGGATTTTGTCCAAGCTGAAGGTATCCCCCAGGAATGTGTTTGGAGCACAACACTTTCTCCTTGCTATAAATGATTTGTCCTCTCTTCTTCCATCCAATATTTGGTCGTCACTATGTTGATGACTTCGCTATAGCTTCTGCAGACGCTGACTGTCACCTCATTGCAGTTTCTCTCCAGCATTGTGGTCAACGACGTTTCCAATTGGGCCACCACGCATGGGTTTAAATTTCCCAGTACTAAAACTCGCCAACTTACTTTCACTAGATGTTCTGTCATTTCTGATCATCCATTGTACCTCTGTGGCTCATGTATCCCTGAATGTGTACGGTCAGATTTCTAGGCCTTCTGTTTGACTGTAGGTTATCCTGGAAACCTCGCATTACCTCTCTGAAGGCAACTTGTCACAGCTGGCTGAACCTTCTTAAAACCCTCTCTCATCTTTCAATGGAAGCTGATTGTTGAACTCTCGTTCGCCTACGTTCAGCCCTCATTTTACCGAAACTATTATGATGGCCAGATCTATCGGCGGCCTCTCCTGCTACTCTCTCTAGACTTAATCCCATCCATCACCAAGGATTACGTTTATGCCTTGGTGTTTTTCACTCTTCAACTGTTGAGTCTCTCTATGTGGAAGCAAATGTTCCATCCTTGTCTTATCACCACGATGCCCATAGCCTTCGCTACTATGTTCCACTCGTGATCTCCGCAATCCTTCCATGTATAGAATAGTCACTGATGTTAGTAGATATTCTTTGTTCGTCGCCCCTGTTTGCTCCGCCCCTTTTCTCTACGCCTACATTCGCTCTTCTTTCCTTCATTTACCACCTTTCTATGTTCATGTAGCATCTTGCTTTTCCCTGCCCCCCCTGGGAAGTTCCAGCTGTTTGTCTGTTCTTACTCACCCCCTTGCGCAAAAGCCCAACTGCCTACGGTAGCTTCCCACTCTCTTTCTTGACCACTTCTGCTCTCATTCTCACGCCATCGCAGAGTACACAGATGTCTCTAAGTCTTCTGACAGCATTGGATTCACAGCAGTGTTTCCAGTGTTGTGCAAGGGCATTTACTATCCTTGGCTTGCATTTTTACTGCTTAATTGTATCCCATTCTTGCAGCACTTATCCGTGTTGCACCCATGCCTGTGTAATCATTTGTGGTCGTTTCAGACTCCCCTAGTTCTCCGTATCTAATATTGGTTACACCACATCTCTACCAAGCATAAAGATATTGTTTTTTGTTGGGTCCCTGGTCATGTTGACGTACAGGGGACTGAACAGGCAGACGCTGCTGAGCGATCAGCAGTACATGACCTTCCAGTTTCATATAGAGGTGTTCCACTCACAGACTATTTTCCTGTAATGCTATCCACCTTCATACCCGTTTGCAACAACGTTGGTCTGATGTGCTCAATAACGAGCTTCATTCTATTAAACAGAGTATATGTTACTGGCCATCTTCTTGTGATAAGTGTCATGATTGGGGGACCCGCTCCTCTCCCGTCTACGCATTGGCCACACTCCAGTATTGGTTAGCCACATTCTGTTAGACTGCCCACTCTATCAACGAGCACGCAGAATTTACCTCCAACATCATCTCTCTGCTGCTCTCTCTTTACTTTCCCTTCTTGCTGATGGACCCTCCTTTAATCCAGACTCTCTCATTGACTTTTTGACAACAACTGATTTACTACACAAACTCTGATGATTCCTTTAGCACTTCCTCAGCCCTTTCTACCTCATTCTCTTTCTACCCTCTACCCCTGCATTATCTACTGTTCTCCGTAACCTACTAATCATCTCTGTCCCTTTTGCTACCCGATACCCTCGCATCCTTCCCTGCCCTGCAGCGCTGTATAGCCCCTGTGGTTTAGTGCTTTTTTATTGTAATAATAATACAGATGTCAACATTCATGTACCTGTATAAATTTGTAGAATTTATACATGAAGGTGCTTTGTAGAAGGAATTTTCTTTCTTTTTCAGGAAGGAATTAGGCAGTCTCTTTGTCAGTGGTTTAACACTAGGACTGCATCTCGTAAGTTGAGGACTTGTCTGTATAAGACACATTGTACATAAAAGATCGAGCATCATTTTTAATTTTCTCAAAAGCCAACCTGGGCGTTCATCCACCATTTAATCGGAGACTAGATGGGAGCCACATCAAAACTTGTGATGAAAAAGCCCTCACGGTACTAGTAATGATTGACTCTATGTTTCACATGGGTTTATATTACCCATTAGTGCAGTAGTACCAGTTACCACTTACCAGTAGATGACTCGCTACCGACCGTCTGTGTGAATCACTGACTGTTATTCACGTTGCTGCTGACCATAGCATATTTTTGAACACCGCACCCTCTAGGCACTGGTGGGTCAGTCTGAGATAGAGAGCAGAGAGAGGCAGGGCAGCTGATGGTGCTTCCCATACTTTCTATTATACGTACTAACCAGCCTACCTGAGTGTTTTTACCCCATCCACGTTATTGAACCCACATGACAATTTGGTGACAGCGGTGTGGGAGTGGATCTACGGGTATTTCCAACGTTAGAAGATTGTTTGTGGGGTTTCGGCAGGTCAGAGGTGAACCGTCTCTGCCAACCTCCAGCTAGCAGCTTACCCTCACGCTACCTCCACCCTGTGTACTCCAGCCTGCAAGCCTGTTGCAGCCTCTTTTCAAGCTTCCTGGCTTAGTTCGTGTGCTAGTTGCTTCAACCTCCGAGGGGTTGACCCGGATTTTGCAATTAAGCCAGCCAGTAAGCCAGACTGTGGAAGTGAATGCCAGTCAGCCTGCCTCAGCCTATCATCCAGCCTGTCTCCTGTCATCCACCTGCTCCTTCATGCTGTGTGCATCACTACACACGTCTTCCAGTCAGCCATTCTCGTGGGTTAAAGCCAGTTAGTCAACCCAGCTGAGAGAGAGAAGTAAGCCACGCAAGTTCCTCTGAAGTACTGTCTCCTATATCATTTGTCCTCCCAGTTGGATGCTGGTAAGTAGTGGTCTTCACCATCCCTGTGGCATATTGTGGCTTAGTTAAGCCACCTGGGTGTGTGTTGTGAGTGGCAGTGGGCGCCAGTGGGCCGGGTTGCCACACCCACCCGCCACCCACTCCCCACCTCATCTACCTGTGGGTTTTTCCACCCTTGTACCGGGTCCTAGTACTGTTTTGGCTCACATAATTGGTCAAGAGATTGTAGCTGTGTGCCAACGATAAAGCCAGTTATGTGAGTTCAGCTATAAAGCGCATTTCTTCACGACAACAGTGTGAGTGTAGGAGGAATCATCACCCGCACAGGACCACGTCTTCACCTCATCACCCGTCACCGCCGTCTACCACTCCAGACTTCAGTGATAATTTTCTGTTTAAAGACATTTTCCTACATTTAAAAACATTTGCGTGTGTGAGATGGTATAGATAAACGTTTGCCTTACGAGTTGCTTTATTCTAATCCAAAACCAAATTACAACCCTGATGATTTCATAGCAACCCGTACCAGCTTAGCTCAAAGCGTCTTTAGAAGAATCCGTGAAAACACTTCATAAATCAACAGCAGAATTTACAAGATTCGCAAAACACTCGAGCAAAGCCGTCCAAAATCGAAGTACGGTCGAGAGTTATGCTGACTAACTTAACAAAACATCTGCAATGCTTAAGCTTGATCAAAATTGTTGGTCCTTATCGAGTAGTTGAACATATCACTGGTAATAAGTATAAGGTTAGAGAAATTAGTACTTTTCAGTATAAAGAATCGCATTTAGATCATATGAAGTTAGTATGTGATGATAATGATGTTCCAACCCAGACTAATGTGACAGACTGACAATCCTCCTGATCCTGTACTCTCTACCTCTGATACTCAGTCAGACGATCAACCTGAATGTCGTTATTCCCTACGTACACAACAGGTATTGAGAAATCCTCAAGCTTCATTTTGTAACTACCAATTTAGATTTGCCTCAAATACGGCACGAGTTAGCCAGTGAAACAGAGTTTGATCCTCCCAGAGATGACACCCATTCATGCATATGTCAATCTCACCCTAGCAGAGTTGGGGTTAACCCTTTATCGTGTTTGGCCGGAAAAAATTCGGTATTAATTACGTGTTTTGGGGGCGTGTCATACTCCGTGCCCCGCTCGGCCAGCTTCCCGTTCTTTAGTTCCAACCAATCACAAGCCTTCCCTGAGTCCCCTTCAGCTAAGTACAGTTCGCTTCTGCCGCCTTCCCATTGGTTGAGAGATCAAAATATAAAACACTGGGGCCTTGGCTCCGCCCACACACGCATTTTTCCCTCCACCCTTACTAATCTACTCTTGGATTATACATTCTACAATTCGGTAAGTACTGATTGTTGTGTTTAGTGCTTACATGAATAGTTTAGGCATATTTTGATATATACCTAA